CTCTCTCTCTCTCTCTCTCTCTCTCTCTCTCTCTCTCTCTCTGTCTCTCTCTCTCGCTGTCCCTCTGTTCATCCTTCTATCATCCCAACACCATTCCACCTTACTTTTGCTCTACCCTACGCTCCCTCACTCCCTTTTCAAATTAGTTCAAATTCCCAGCTAATCCACCCAAAATGCGCCTTTCTCTGCGCTACTCAAACACATTAGCTGACATCAGTGACCATCGTCCCATGTCCACATACAAAGTTTTGTTTATTTCACACTCGGCTATCATTTAGCCTTCAAACTGCCATCTCCCTTTCTCACTCTCTCTCTCTCTCTCACGCTCATCTGCCATCTCTGTTCGCTCGGGCAGCTCATTTAGCTCAGTTTAGTGCCAATCATTTGCCATTCATTTCAGCCGTTGTCTGACTTTGTGACAGTTTTGCGCCCGAAATGCACAACTGATGCAAATTATCAGCAATGCAGCTTGCAATTAATCTGCTGCATATGACACCGCAATCACAACTTAACCCATTTCACAGTTAGTTCAGCCAGACGATAATAAACTGTTGCCGAAATGGGGAGCGAGTGGGAGTGGAAGTGGGAGTGGGGGGTCACGCCTTACAGTCGGGCACTGCAACTGCAACTGCTACTGCAGTCCACTAAAGCACTAAACTCAATGGCTTTAATTGAATTTTGATGTCCTTAGCAAATTGTTTTCTAATTAGTTTCAGCGTCCAGGCCCTAGCCAAGGGCTGGCCAGCAGCATGACCAGCACGAGTTTGGCCAGGCGCTGGGGGAGTCGACGCTTAGTCTATCTCATCCGGCTGGGCAGTTGACACAGAAAAAGTTTCTGTCAACAGTTCTTTCACACGCCCCGCCCAGTGGCCGGGAGGCTGCACTGGAGTCGCGTGGACCATTTCGCACTTGGCTTCAATAATGACAACTTAAAAGTAAAACAAGCAAGACTAAAGCAGAGTCGATTGATTGGCCAGCAGATACCCTGCAAGCTGTACTGGAAAAGGCATTGCCATGGATTCTATTCCGGAAGTTGATTTCGCTTTCTTCAAGCTGTACTTCAGTTAAATAATTGAGAGTGATGCAAGTAACATTTTATAAAGTTATAATATAGATATTTCCTATTCTTTTTTGAGTTCTTTTGCAAATACTTTGGATAATAAATAAGCCAAAAAAATCTATTATTATAGTCTAGAAGCATTAAAGTCATATATCCCAATATAATATATTAAAACATCAAACAAATGCTAGCTTGCTTGCAAAGCTCTTTGTCTAGATATCATGTATACAAAACTTGTTTACGCCAAAGAATATATGGATCATATTTCCATATACATACATATATTCTCATATCACAGTGTATGCGAAACATCAGTTAAGTGCGATCCAACAGAGAATTCATCGAATCAGATGCCGTCGCAACTAAAGATAACTCAATGCATGCCACACTAATATACCCGACATTGCATTTACAGGATATACGCAACTAAAACAATTAATGCCACGTTCACGTCGACACTTACCCAGGATCATTTGGCACCTCCGAAGGCGAAACGGGCCCCAGCTCCGTTTGCTGCTGCTGCTGTTGCTGTTGCTGTTGTTGCTGCTGCTGCTGCTGCTGCTGTTGCTGCTGCTGCTGTTGCTGCTCAATCTTGATGTCCATGTTGGCTAAATCGCTTTCGCTCACTGTCCTGCTGTCTATCTCTGTTCCTCGGGCTATGTGTACGCTGCTCGCTCTCTAGCTCTGGCTGCTCTGGAACTCTGTGTGTGCTTCGGCTAATGCTCTAAAAACTGTTGATGCGACTGTTGCTGCTGCTGCTGCTGCTGCATTGAAGAGATGTGTGTGGGTGTGTGTGTTGAGGTGTGTGTATGTGTGTGTGTGTGTGTGGCTACGTCTAATGCTAACTAAGACGACGGCGAGTCCGGCGACGGCGACGTGGTGAGCTATCAATCTAACTCTCCGTTTTAATCATTGACAATGGCTGCTCGCGCGAGTTCCATTTGTTGTTGTTGTTGTTGGTGTTATTGATTTGTGTGATTATTATTTTAATTTTGTTTACTTCTTTTGTTTTTACTATTTTGTTTATCCAAAACAAAATTGTTTACGTTTTTTGTTACATTTCGCACTTGGAATCACATTTCTGGGTTGTTGCTTCGTTTTGCAGGCCACTTTTGGTTAAGAAAGTTAAAGTTTTTTTTTTGTTTTTTTTTTTATTTTCTTTAATTTACTTTTGCTTAGTTTAATTATTTGAGAAATGTTTTAGAAACGTTGCGTTAACTATTGTTGTTTGAATTGTTTTGAAGGCAACATATTTACTGCAAATATATACATACGCATATAGAAAATACATACATATATGTATAAATAAAAATAAAACAAAATATAAGTAAAAACCTAAGCCAAATCACGCCATCAAATTGGCTGAAACCTAAAACAAATTGCAATTTCTAAGCAGCTGTAGTCGATAGCCTCTGGCCGTAAATTTCAAATGATTCGAAACGTAAAATCGTAAACTTCAAACAACTGTGCGAGGGGCGACGGGGGTGTGGCGCTAGATGTAGCTAGATGTATGTTACAATGAATATCGCTGTTGCAAGTATTTTTATACCCTGAACCCATTGAAAATGGGAAATCAGGGTATAATGGTTTTGTT